TAGAGATTGATATTGGAATGATTGTAAATGCTAAGAGAAATTCTTCTAACTGAAAACCCATACTTCTAATCTACTAAATGCATACCTCATACCGATACTTTAGAGGTAATTCATTTGACGTCATCAACTGTTTTAGGTCGAGTCAAAAAGCCTGAAAAATGCTGACCAAATGAAGTAAATAAAATAAAAATTAAAAAAAAAAAAAAACACTCACCATTTGGACGAACCGTAAGTATCAATTCACGAGATGCAGATCTCTAGAAGCTTTATTAGATTGAAACTTGTTCATGAGGCAATCCACTTATGTAACACCATTAATAAATAAACTATAAAATCATTTAAGATACACTTAGATTTTTTCCATTACAATTTAAGACCGATGTCAGAAGGTTATTAAAACAATCTCTCTTACTTGATCTCCTATGTAGTTAGATAGGAAATGATCAGCGGAGTATTTGGTGGCACTCTTGACACAGAATAGGGTAATTAAGATCAAGCACCACCTTAACATAAAACCAAAGCGTCCTGATCATCAGGCAGTTATCTGATGGACACAAAGACCTCCTCTGTCAGCTGAAAAGATGCAAAGTTATACTATTAGTTGCAGACATAACTATGTCAAAATTATTATAAGCAAAATTTTGTTGAAATTTCAAAGCAGGGAACTCTTTTGCAAATTTGGAAGCAGAAAAGAAAAAAATTGTTCTAGGGTACTTCATCTGATTTTATCATATAATATATTAAAAAGTTTTAGACATCATTCTGCACTATTGTAAACTCTGTTGGCATAAAAGTAAAATGAAAATTAGAGTAATACAAGGTGAACTAATCTGTCACACCAACAACTTTGTTAAACAATATAAACTTCAAACAAACCTTAAAATGCTAAAGATATGTATTAAAGATTAATGAAAATTACATACTATCTAAGTTGAATCGACATACAGTGAAGTCTACATAAGGAAAGTACAAATCAATGGTTAAATGTAATTAAAATCTCAAGCATTAACTGTATGTAAATATTAACAATTGACTGTAAGTCAATATGTAAGTTAAGTTTTTGTGTAAATTAACAAAGTCAAAACTAAGAGGAACGGGCAGGGATTTAATGAAATAATATTTTATATTCTTTTAGAAATGAGGTTTTTTTATGTATTTCTATTAAGTATTTACATGACATTATAACTGTTGAAGAATTTACTTTGTATAATTATTTGTGGGGTATGTCGCTGTTATCAATAATTAAACAAAACCTGTGCTAAAATGAATAATACAACATAAAGACACAAAATTGATTAAGAAGATTAAAATGAAGCAATGCATTAAATAAACAACTGCATGCTTTAATGCCATACCACAAATAAAATTTATTAATGCATTAATCAACTTAAGTAACTTAGTTTTCAGTATTAGCTGTAAAAATAAGCAATTGTGTACTGAATGCACTGAACATTGGTGTGTTGAAAAGTAAAGTTTTTAATTAGTTGTATTACAAATTTAAAAACAATCAATACAGACCTACTGATTTATTGAGTCATCTTTACTAAGTTTTTTGGAACGCTTCATTCTGTTGTGTGCATGCATCCGTAAGCAGACCATCAATGTAAAAAATGAGAAAATTTGTAGGTATTACAAATTAAAACATGTGAGGAGGACTCTTTTTCCCAATGGTTGTTCTTGTAGAGGGGGGCGGGGTTAGCAGACACACTAGCATCAATATAGAAGAAGCGTAGCAATTCCCAAACTTTGGCACAAAAATGACTAATTCAGATAAGTTTCAAAATCATTTCAAAAAGTATAATTCGGTAAACATATGACAAAGTTTAGATGAAATTAATTCACAGCACAAAACTTTTATTATATATAAACCTAACATGGATAGATAAACAACTATAATAAATGTGAATATTTTTGTGAGGCGCATTAAATACAAAAAGATTGTTAAGTTCACAAGACACATGTTTGTGTTAATGATTTCTTTCTTGATGCAATCCAAGGTCAAAGACGGATCTCACAGGTGTCGCCATCTTGGCTTATTATCTTTCCAACATACTTGTTCAATGACTTGCATACAATGGTTAGATCCTTGGTCAGATTCTCTGCAAAGCCACAAAGATCTTTTTCCAAGATGTTAAAGATGTATAATTGTCTACAACTTTAACTGGCTTATCCTTGACAACTGGTGGCAAGGTTCATGCAATGGGAATTCATTGCTAAACAAATTTTTCACTATGCAACTTGTAAGAAAAGGTAATTGTAGTGCTATGCATGTCTAAAAAATTGTTAAAAAGAGCAACAGAGGAATAGGTGGGCCTAACTAAGTCAGAATAACATTAAAGGGGTAATACTTTAAGAATTTTACTAGTATACAACTAAACGAATGGCTAACTATACAGAAATATTGTTAATTAATTTAAGCAGATGTGAATTATATGTTTGATGTTTTTGGTTTTAGTTACACATCTGAGTATTCAGTATATGGAGGTACTTCTAGAAACCTGTATACACTTCTTTTCTTGTAATCGGCTCTTCATCAGCATAACTCACGTGCGTCTTTGTTACCATACCAGAATAGGGTGGCCTTTCCTCAACCCCTGTCAGGAAACCACCTCACTCACGCACGCAAATTGAAGAAAAACTTATAATCTTTATGCTAATTTCCTGCATGAAAGAGAAAAGATGTCATCATTGCTCCTTCAGATCTGATGGCAAACACTTTATAAAAGGGTTTTATTAAGCACAATACTAAAAAACAAACTAGTGGTGGCTACCACAATGACACAAGGACCTTTTTCCCATTTTAGTTTCTTCTATTTCCCTTTGGGTCTCGTTTAGTATTCGAACTTGCCAACATTTCTTGATCTTATGTGCTCTGCGGCATAGTACTTTTTTTTCCACATTTTTTTAACTTTCGGATTTCCTGATTGTAGAGCAGAAATAATATTTTTAAGATATTAAAGGAACAGTAAAGCCTCATCCTATCATGGCAAATTTTCTTGAAAAAAGTTCCAAGAACTTTTTTAAAACTGGCTTTAAGTTGCTAAGTTAAATTCGAGATTTGAAACTCTTTCACACAACTCTAAACTTAATTTGAAGTCACTAGTATTTTAACTCACCAAATACAATAGGTGTTTACAATTGCTGGAATCGTGCATATCAATGGCTTTCTTATGAGAGATCTTTAAAAAAATGGTACATGTGTGTATTTTTTGAATAAAAAAAAATAAACCAAATTAGCTTTCTCACATAAAGAGTGCATTTCCACTATCCTTTCCAAAATGTTTGAAAGAAAACGTTTTGCCATATTGCAACGAAAAGTACAAAAAATTTTCAAAACAATGTACACTGACTTAATGAAAATAACTAACTATGGAGAACAAATTTATTTGAAGGAAAAGTCATCTTCATTTTGTAATTGAAGGAAGCCGTCCCAAATAATTTTTGAAATTTTCTAAACTCACAGTAAAACTGGAATTGATCTATGCAATCTTGTAAGTGTATTTTTACTCCATTCTTAGAAGAATTTTTTTTTTAAATTTGGAGCGCGTTTTTAAGATAATTTTGAAATGTCAGGGGGGGCCTTATGTAAAGTTTAAAAACAATTTTTTTTTTGGAAATCTCAGAGACTCTATTCAAGCCAGATGGACTGGGGTTTCTTCAATTGGATAAAATGTACACATGGTTTGGCGCTAGTTAGTGTTCAAAGACACTGGAATGTTCAAGCGTTTTTTGAAACAAACAAAAACAAAACAACAACACTTTTTTCGGTATCAGGCGGGGACAAAAACGTGGATTTCTGTAGAATATCTCGAAATCAATTTTCCCAACAGCATTACATAATTTCCCACTATACATATACTTACTTATGTATATTCTCCATATGAATTTTTACAAGGGAAGTAAAAAGGGTATTTTCAAGTGTATACATAACTGAAGTTGAAATCATGGTTCCCTCTGCTGTGGAGAGGAATAAACACCAGAGTTACCTTCTGAGACGTAGTCATGGACCTCTTGGAAATCAGCATTAATTGCAGAGCCGGAATGTTATTGCATGTGCCTTTCCGTACTTTAACTGTAACTTGTCGGAGGCAAATATATCCGAACAAGAAAGTTGTTGCTTTGGACAATGGAATATGGACAAATTGCAATTTCTGATCTTAAATTGGGCAGGTTCCTAAGAGTAAGTTTGTGGTAATGGAAATGCAGAGCTTTGTAATTGCACCAAAAGGATTTTTTGCGAGTGACCTTTCTGGTATAGTGCAGGCAATTCCTGCAACATAATTTCAAACAATCGGAGGGATAAACCTTTTAAAAGTGGCAAAAAGAAAGTGGCTCTGCATTCTTTCAACGCCCTTTGAAAAACTAGGGAAAACAGACAACTACGCAGTGGTGAGGGAACTGGAAACTGAATGATGGATGTGTGTATTGCAAATGAAAGAACTAACATTTATGCAAATTTGAATTTTGGAAGGTCCTAACAGGTCACATGAGAAGTATGTAATGAAAGCACATGCGCTAACCTTACGGCTTGAATTCAGCAAGATGGTGGTATGAATGGGTGCAGCCCACTAAACGATTTGAAGGCAGAAACAGTTGTATTTGTGGAAGTGAAGTAAAAAGGGTTGAAGAACCTTAGAGACAGTTGAATTCTGTTTTAAATTTTGTTTTACTGGGCTATCTTTTCATAGATAAGCATATTGAGGGATTAGGAACTAATTCATCCATTATGAGGCCAATGAAACACATAGTGCTTGTCAGTTCAAAGCCTTGAATGAAGGGATTAACTGCCTTGCATTGCGAAAGCTATAGAAGGGCTAAGAATGCAAGGAAGAAATGTGGAGAAGGAGGGGGGGGGGGAAGAGGGCAAGGAGGGTGAGGGGGAATC